ACGCTGACGGGTTTCCAGTTCGTCCTTAGTGCAATCAGTTCGGTTTTTGGTTGAATCACCTCGTCCGGCACGTGGCTTGGGCCACGGGTGTGGACACGTGGCGGGTGAGGTGGTGGGTCCGACACAGGCCCGTAACAATATTAATGTACACCACGATCTTACATATAAAATCCTAATTTTCAATAGATCTTTACACGGTGAAAGTTCAAAATTCACATCGAATCTTCCCTTTCTCCTCACAAAAAGTAGGCACTCATCTTCCAACCTCCCTCCATCATATAGCCCCTTAATTATAGAAACATAAGTGATCATATGTAAATAAATTTCAATTTAACCCTTCTCCGCCACCAATGTTCTAAAAATGAAACCTGGTTTGGATAAGTTTTCAAAAAGGAGTTTATATTTCTTTCTGTTGACATCCAAGTCAAGCAAAAGAGAATTGGCAAAATTTTAAAAACTGCAGTACCCACTTAATTAAGTTTCAAGAGCGGTAAATAGCCAAGTTCCTGAAAAAGAGTTCTTTAAAAAAATTTCCAGAATTTGTGCTTTCTGTCGAATTATTTAGGACGGAGGTGGGGGGCTATTGAGCTTCTCAAATAAGAAGATAATATTGGAGAATTATGATTAGTGTACATTCCATGGATTACATGTTACCTTACATTGTGTGGAAATTCAAAAAGTATTGGAGAGAAAGTTGTTGTCTAAGTACCAACACTTGACACAATGTTAAAAATGATGTAAAACAAGATGTACATATAGTATGATTGAATATTGGAATGGGTTCATGAAATAATTGTGGGCATATTTTTTAATTGGGATAGTACGTGTTATTAGAATGTCAATATGGATGGAAAACGATGACAGATCGGTAAAAAGAAGAGTGGAATTGGATAGAGAGCAAATGAGTTGTCGAAAAAAAAATTGCTGGAGTTTTCTAGAAAGTGTGATTTCTTTGATGTATTGCCAAATGATCTTGTGGAGAAAGAGAGACGGCCAATGGGGAGCAGGTTGAAATGAAAAGTATAATATTGAGAAAGGGAAATTACAGCTACAAAGGTTTCTAAAGTTCCATTTTCATAAATCAGCAATCAAATTTAATTATACAGAAATCAGGTTTTAATTAATAATTTATATTTAAATATTATAAATATAAAAATATATTAATCTATATATACACCTCCAGACATTCAAACCCTAAATTAAATTACAAATCAAACCTACCCCCACTCTCTCCACAGCCACCGCCTTTAAACCCCTCGCCCCTCTCCTCAGCCACTGCCACCACCATCGCGCTCCCTTCTCCTTCTATCTCTTCATCGGACTGCTGTAGAGACGTCATCGCCATCTCCGCCACCACACCCAAGAAGCCACTACCGAGCGGGGCGATTTGAACGTCGTCGGACTGCTGCAAAGACGCCTGGATTTGGGTGATATTTGTTTGTTGTAGATGTGGTCCATGGCGTGGTGCTGTAAATCGTGTGGTGCTGTAGATGTGGTGCTGTAAATCGCGTGGTGCTGTAGATGTGCACAACGGCGTTGTAGAACGCCTGATTTGGGTGAATTTGTTTGTTGTTGTTGGTGGTTTCAATGGCGTGGTGATGTTTTGAGTGGTGGTGGATTGGGCTACTGATAGTGGATCTAGTGTTGGTGGTGATGGATTTGGTCGTAACGATGATTCTCTGCATTCTGATTTGGTGGCTGGGTTGTGGAGGCGGTGGTTCCGACGGTGGTTTGGGCTAAGATAGTCTGTACAAAATTTGTGAACCAAAATCTGGTAGAGTAGAATAATTCTTGAGGAGAATAGAAATTTTAGAATAGTGATTGATGTGAGAATGTGTGGTGGAAAAGTGATGAAAAGTTTTTGATTTGTGTGTATTATTATTTTATTTGATGAATGTATGGTTGAGATGAAGAGAGAGAAAAAATTAATGTAATGGAATGTAATATAATGGGGGCCAAACAGGGGTTAAGGGGATAAAGTTTTACAATTCAAAAATTAATTAATATATACATCCCACCCCACCCCCCATTTTAAATCCCTAAATCACCGATCAGTACACCTCTCTCTCTCTCACTCATTCTCTATCTACCTTCTCCGATGATGGCGGCATAGAGGGGCGGTGGGGGTGGTGGTGGTGCCGATCTCTCCCCCCTTCCCCTCTCTCCACCCAACCCACCCCTTTTCTATATTCTAGCGTCGAGCTGTCCGTAAAGCCATCGAATGGAGTGCTGGCCACCATCGTCAAAGGCCGCTTCTACTAGAGCTGGGCGATTCTCACACTTTGAAGGAGTTGCTTTTTGTTTCCAATGTGGTTGCAACTTCTGGTCTGATTAGTCAACCTAGTTCGACCTGATTTTGGTGGTGTTGATTGTACTGTAGGTAGAGGAGGTGGGAATTTAGATGTCGGAGGTGGGAATGATGATTTGGGTCTTCTCGCTTGTTTTGTGGTGGTGGTGGTGGTGGTGTGTTTGAAAGTGGAGGAGGAGGTGGC